GTATATGGCTTAATACTTTTCTTGATTTTTTTTTTTTTTTTAAATTTTTTTTTAAATTCACAGTTCAGAGAGGAAAGGGGTGCTAAGCCACCTTAGTAAGAATTCAGAGGGATTTGCACCAGTGCAACTTCACTGCAAAACACACCTTTAGTCAGTTGATTTTGTCATGAAGGCAGGAACTTGTATTTGAGTACAGTTGGTACAAGGATCTAATCATTACTGCTTCCATTTTGATTTTTAAATCAAATACAGCGAGTGTTTCTGACTCAGAGAATTGTGACATTTTCACCAACTTTATTCCGTCGGTGCCTTTTGATGAGCTTTAGAGCTCACTGGGCGGTCACGAATACGGGAGACCCGTGTTTGCTCTCAGTTGTGTCTCCCCTCCTTCTGCACAGGACCCAAATCATGGCATTTTGCCTCGACGGCTGTGTCATCCGCATCCAACCCAGGGGGAATGTGGTGTGAGACCGAGCCCCGTGCTCCTGCCTGGACCGTACACCGACATCGGTTTCATAGCAGCTGGCAAAGATGAGGTCATTTTCTGTTGCCCCTGAGAAATAAAATAAAATTTAAAAAAAAAAAAAAAGGGCAGGTCTGCAGTTTGTGTGGGTGCCCTGCTCAAACCCCTTCCAAGAGGAAAGCAGGAGACGTCGTATTGATTTTTCAGTGTGCAGGTGGCTCAGGCATGTTCTCTGCACCGTTAGAACGTGAGCAAATGCTTCATAACTGTAATAGAAAAATCAAGGATGTTTCTCTATGTCACTGACTTCCCCCAGTGTTTTGGCAAAGACCGTTGACCCAAGCAGATGTGGAAGAGAGAGAGTGGAATATGAAGTGTGTCCGCATCATGAATATTTAAAATATGGTCCACTGTGTGGCCCAAGTACTATTACGGGGGCTTCTGCTTAGCTGTTTTTTATATCCACCCGTGATTTTTTTTGTCAGTGTGTACAAGCACGGTACCCAGTTTCACACGGTTAGTAAGTATGGGTTGAATTAAACCATACAACACAGGTAGCTTTCGTGCTAGTGCTTTGGTCACTACTTTCCGCGATACCCAGTGTGTTCCCGTCTCTCTTTAATTTTTCATTACTGTCATTTTTACTCTCCATCGGGGCTTAGCTGTCAGTGGTTTCTCTACCTCCCGTGGTTTTGTGTCCCAGAGTGTGATTCTTCAGTGATGCTGTAGCACAGCAGATATATTCCAAAAGTTAAATGGCTGAAGGCATCAGGTGAAGTGGGGCTGTGCAGGTACCAGCTTCAACAGCCGTCCCTGTCGGAGTAGGTAGGGAATTTGCTTCCAGACCCTCTGGAGATCCTTGGGGTTATGAAGCAACATAGGTTGAAGAAGGCAGAGGTAAAAACTCCGCTCCTCTTATCTAGCAGGCACAGAGGAGCTGTGGAAGTGCCTGGCCCTTCTCCCCTCCTTACTGGAAACGGGGCTGGAGGCAGCAGAAAATAGGTGGACACTTACGCTGTTTTCAGCTTTCCACATGGATTTCGTGACTCTGTCGTATGTCATGAATAAGCTGACTTACGCAAGACGTTTTACTTGCCAGAGGGTTATTTGCTGTACTTTGATGTGATAACGCTGCACTATTGCATTATTTGGAGGAGGAAAAAAACCCATATAATCTTGATTTTTACATCGTTTATTCCTTCACTTCTTTGAAAATCGTGTCTTGTTATAAAATCACTTCCCCTAACTAGTGTTGCATCACCAGTACCCAACCACGAATATGCGTTCCTGGGAAGGAGAGGGTGACAGAAACAAACACCTACTCTAATGTGTCATTAGAAATCAAACAGACCTAAAACTTGCTTCTGCTTGCCAATGCTCAGATCTTCTACAAGTCTGTCTCCAGCAGCGAGACCAAGGATGCATCCAGATTACAGAAACTGTGCTTGCACGCAGACAAAATATCATTGAACAAGTCAAGATTATAGGTTTGCATTGTGCCCACAAAGCTGTTTGTTTATGTATTGGATTAAAATCTTCATTTTCCACCTCTATTTGCTCGAACAAAGTGAGTACTTGGATCAGTTAAACAGAGTTCTCCATTCATTTCCACTGGCTGTATCCTTTGTGCGTTACATCCGCTTCTGTATAAACCCGCTCTTTGTTTTGTTTTGAGGTGCTTCTTAAGGCTCTATCAGGGAACAAGTGGCAATCTATAATATCTTCAAAAGCGGGATGGATAAAATAGCAGTAATCTGATACTGACACATAAAGGTCACCGAAAGGCACTGCTGAAACCCCCCCCAAGCGGGATGGGAGTAGCTGCCTTCAGAAAGGGTGCCTGCATTTGTCTTTCAATACTGCGGGGTTTTTTTTCTTTTTGAAGTGTCTATTTTTGGTAAGTTGAAGTAGTCGCTCTGCCTTGTCAAATGGCAGTGGAAGCTATACGTAGGTGTTCAGTATGTTAACGCTTAGCGTCGTGTTAGCAAAATGACCTTTTAAGTTCCCGTTTACAGTCAACACCAATCTTCCTGGTTATTGACAGCACTAGACTTGGACATCCTGAACATCGTTTACAGTTTGATACTCTCTTGGTCATTCCGTCATTTTCTTTGGACACAATACCAGGGTATCATGTCCTACATAGTTTGTCTTGTCTTGTGCAAGTTCCCTGGAAAGAAAAGAGATTTGCACTTGGATTTAAAAAATAAATACAAATCTCGGTAGGGCTCTTTCCGTTGACTTGGCCATGGCCTTTAGGCTCTCACAGAGAAACTTTAAAAAACCCTGCTGGGGGTTTAAGCCATGTGACTCCTGTTGATATTATAATGAGATTTACAGTGCTTAAAACCCACAGGGGACTGACTCCTTACTTGGCGTCACACGGCGTTTCTGCAGTCATCCTGGTATATGGGTAACATGCGGTGTGTAAATTAATACACTGAATTTTTGGGGGGTTCTGCCGAACACATTGAAATCGTAGCTCTCATATGTAGTCTTCATGGACTTTAATGGAGTGTTAACATGGAAGCCTACTTTCTCACCCTTTGCTGTATTCAGGTATGGAAGCAGATGATAAAACCCATTATTTTCTGAATTATTCTTTTCTGATGTGTATGGAGGGCATTTGACAGTATGCCTGTCTGGCTTGGGTGGACGATCTTCCTTCAGCCATTCTCCCTCTTTCTCAGCTGAGGAAATGTGTGGTGTAGCATTTTTCTAATTTCCTTGCAAGGAATGCATCGGTCCCTTTGTTCTTTTAAAAACTTATCTGGTAGAGCTTCTCCCCACTTGCACATTTTAAAAAACCTGATAAAGTTAAACCAGTGCAATATTCTCTTCTAGAAAAGGCCTTTATAAGTCTCTCCACCTACAGTGGTTTTTTTTTAGGAAATTACCTTGCACATACATATATATTTATGCTTCAAGAACTATTTGTAAACAGCCAAACATAAGATTTTAATGAAATAATGATTTAGGGTCATGTACAACTCGTAATACCTTTTCCAGTCAGATCTGTACCTTTTTTTAATTTAAAAAAAAAAATTAAAAATACTTAAAAAAATACACCTTCAGTTATCTTCACATTCTCATTGGGCCTAAAGTCAAAAGTGGCAGAATGTGGGCAAGAAATGTTCTCGCAACTTCTTCACATTTGGGATAGCATCTCAGGGGTATGTTCTACAGTGATCTTGCTATCTAGTGCATCAGAAATAATACAAGAACACAATTTTGTTATAGTATGCAGGCAGATAATGTTACAGAACAAGAATAAACAGCATTTCCACGTGCGTATAAAAGTAAAACGGCAAAAAGTAGGTGTTTATCCATAACATTACCTGTAATCCAGGATAAAATAAGTAATGAAAGCCACACCTAGATGCTGGTATGTATTCATATCCTTTGTGTATGTTTGAAGTTCATAATACAGCACAGGCATACTGTAGCAAAAAGATTTGCTATGAAAAATAGATATGTGTATGAGCATAAAATAGTAATTTCAATATTACTTTGACATTTTATTTTTAAAGTCATCTAAGGTTATGGAAATTGTTGCAAAAATAATTCCTTTACTTAAGAAGTTTCCATGCAGAAGTTGAATAAAGAGGATATTTTAAAATATGGTTCATCAGTTAGTGCAACAGATACATTTCCCTGAGCACCACATGGCCCGGATCAAAGCGTCTCATGACTTGGATCAGTGCAGCCAAATCATTACGTATTGATTGGAATCCCGCTGAAGGATTAACCCCTTAGTGCTCGTACGAATTTTTTTCTTTAACCCTGGTTTCAGTAGTTAGAAAGCTCTGTGACGTTCCTGCCGAACCTTAGCAAGGTTAACAGCCCCCACTAACCCCTCGTACTGAGGAATCCTTTGATTACATGGTTCCTTTTTTTTATGGTGAATTTTGCATTTGAAAATACATCTTGAGTCTTCTTTACTGGGACGTAAGGGGGCTGTACTTGTGCAAAGAAACAGCCTGTAAGAGGAGAAGAAAACCCACCCCAAAATGAAAAAACAACAAAAACCCAACCCAGTAAATAAATAACATGGTGGGAAAGCCAGGGCTGCAAACTCAGTGCTTTTCCTCTTTCTATAGCGATGAGGAATGCCTCAGGTCCGGTTGTATTGTGTTACAAGAATGCACTGCTGCATGGAGATGACTTTTTCTTCCTGATGAAGTTGAATTGTAAATATGCAATGTTCATAAATTTCTTAGCAAAATATCAAGCAGGATATTAAGCAGGTCTGTCAAATGATTTCTCCCCCGTCCATGTTAATTTAAATTCTTTACAAAGCTTTTAATTAATGAATGAAATGTAGGAGGATAGCTAAGTAAGAATGACACATGTTTCGCGCTGCAAATGGTATTTAATTCTGTTTTGAAAAACCACGGGCAGAGTCAGGTGGGTACCGTGAGGTGTTAGGGATGTTTCAGGATCTGTTGTTTGCTGCTCTGAAGAGTCTTTATGAAGATTAACTGGCGCGGTACCTTCAGTTACGCCACTTTTTCTCTTTTCTCTTTCTCCCCTCCAGTTTATCCCACGAGGAGCACTCACACAGCCATCCGCTCTATGGACACGGCGTATGCAAGTGGCCAGGCTGTGAAGCAGTATGTGAAGACTTCCAGTCATTTCTAAAGTAAGGATGGTTTTTTTGGCGCTTGCATTGTACAGAAAGCATGCCCTGAAATTTTGTGTGCTGTCACTCACCGTGGGCCTGATGCAAAGCCCATTGAAGTCAACAGAGAGCTCCCTTTCACTTCAGTGGCTTTTGGATCAGGCTCAAGAATGTTTTAACAGGGGATAGTAAATTAGCCCCATGGGGAAAGTATGGTCTTGCTCAGTGTATTACTGTAAAATAGAGTGTTTGCAGTTCCGCAGCCTTTTTTTTTTATTTATTTAAATAATTTTTAAGTTGCAGTATTGATAATGTAAACAATAGGACCTTGAGTTAACCTTGATTTCACTTTAATTTAGAAATTTAGTCTTAAATTAACTCCATAATTGAACAGAGAATTGCAGAACATCACGTGAAATTTAATTTATGTCAAATAAGTAACTAATGAACAAAGTCTACACTACTAAAAATAAACTATAATTATATTAATTGGGCCCCTGCAGTTTGCTGCAGACCTTTCCTTGCTGCCAAAGAACACAGTTTTACGCGTTGCATAAACAGTGCATTATGGACTAGTATGTGGTAATGCGTGCATCCCGATGCAGGGAAGGCCCAGCAGAGCTCTAATAACTTACACATGGCTGCTCCACAGCTAAACCATCGGCCTCACCCCTCCAAGCTGGAGCAAAAAGTGTTCCCATCGCAAAAGAGTTTTCTGTCTGGGTAGGTCACCAGGTACACGCATGCTTTGGGTGCATCCAGGTTCTTGAAGGTTTGGGCACGGATCTTTTCTCAAGTACTATGGCTGTTCGGTTGTAAGATCGCAAAAGACCAACCGCTCAAGCAACGTTTATGATTTAAATGCATAAAGGGACAAATTCTGCTCCCATTTACAGTGGTGATCTCGTGAAGGTAGTCCACATAAATACACGGGGTTCTTCAGGATGGATAAGTAGAATAAGTAGTCCCAAAAGGTTCAGCTGTATCTATTCTTTCTGGGGCAGTTCCCTGGATTTTTAAGGGGGGGGGGGGGGGGGAGGCAAAGAAAAGCAAGGCAACAGCAAGCAGAGGATGTTTGTCGGATGATGTTAGATGATACAGACAGGTTTTTCGCTCTCAGAACAGAATGGGCCAGTTCTGCTTCCACTGGCAAAAACCCCTCCTGAATTCAGTAGGAGCAGCGCTGGTCCTGGCATAAACATATGTTAAAAGTAAGGAATGGTACAGTAATGAGAAGGTTCTCATTACAAGAGGATTACAAAGTAAGAAGGTGCTAGTCATAAATTTCCATGAAGGGTGGCCTCATTTCTTTTAATTCATCCTGTTGTTCACTTAAGTGAAATAAATGCTAATCTCACCATACTTGCCAGCTCATTCATATTCATATGCCGTACTATAGCATTTAGGCCTTTAAAACAATTCTAATTTTTAATGCAAGGGAAAGGTAGCCTTAGATATTGGAGTAACGTGTGTAGTCACATAAGGTCAGATTATGCCACCTTTGCTTCTTGTGCTAGTCCCCTGTTCCAGATTAGATCTGTTGGTTTGAGGAAGATTTCTTACAGAGCAGTGGACTGCTTGACGTGACCATGCGTAGGAAATACAGCCCTTAAGTCACACGGCATGGGTAGAGGCAAGATTGATTTTTATATGGTATTTTGGAGATGTTTCAGTAAGTAGACCAAGTCTGCCAGTTCACCTGGAGGAGGTACTTGGGGCAATAAATAGGTAGGAATAACCTGAAAACCGTTACCAGCCCAGGCTCCATCTACTCCCAGCTCCAACAATTCTGGTTCTTTTCTCACTCACTTATCGTCAGGCTTTTTTTTTTCCCCCATTGAAACCTTTCAACAGAAATATTTCGTGTGACTTTCTTAAACCCATCGGCTCGTGTAAATTTTCTCACTATCCAAGTTCTGCAGTGTCCAGACAAAGTCTTATTGTTCGGAGTGATACTTAACCCAGAATGAATGCAGAAATGAATGTCCCCGAGCAGCATATTGACACTGTTAGGAAGTGAGCGTTGCTTCATAAAATGAGACCATAGCCTTCCAAGTCTCCTGTGGAGCGTCCGTCCTTAAATTATATTGCCATTTATCAGAATTCGTTACTCAATGAAAAGATAACAGGTAGATGCTTGAAGTTTCTTTCTGGTACTTGTATAATCTGTGAAGCTCTTTTGACAGTCCCCTCAAGAGAAAAGCTCTTGTTTACCAAGTGAAAAACAGCCCGTGAATGAATTTGAGCATTGCTTAATTTCACTTACCTCGGTAAAAAGGCCCGTTAGAAAAAGCAAAGAGAAGTTACATGTGGAATGAAAGCCCTGTATGCCAATAAAATGATTCTGCACTTAAGGGAGAAAAAAGGACTTGCAGGTCTGAAACATGGTTCATTTCTTTTCCTCCTGAGGAAGAAATATCATAACTGTTGGTAAATCAAAACCAGAGATTTGACACTCTTCTGTGATCGTTCTGTAGTGTTTGTTCCCAAGGTGAGGTACACCCCAGGGCCCTTGATTTCAAAGATAAATACTGTACAAATAACGATCCTAGTTGTCTTTCACTCACAGCCAACAGGAGGATGCTTATCAGAACCAGCAGATACACGGGCTATTGTACGCATTTATTTCCCTATTTCTTTTTGAAATAAGTTGTAGTTTTAGCGTTTGGGTTTTTGGGTGGGTGTGGTTTTTTTCGTGGTTTTTTTTTAAATCCATCAGCCATTGGTTATCATGTGACGTGGTATCAGTTAGAGCTAACTGATAGCAGCAGGGGCTGCTGCTAAGCCTAATGAAACAGTAGCGCCCTGCGTGCTCCAGAATACTCCCCGAGCCTAAAAACAAAAACAAGCCCGGTCTCACCGGGGTGACCTGATGGCCTTCTGCCGAGCTGCGGGAAGCAAGGTGAGGGCTGGAGGGTGCACGTGTGTCTCGAGTGTTAACCAGGGCCCCTCTCGCAGGCGGCAACGAAAGGAGCAATTGGTAGCACAGAGCGACTTTTCCCTTCAAAATTGACTATAGCCTTGATTTCATTTGCATGTGTTTAAAGACCGTTGCAGAGAGAAATATATACCCCTTCTATGGCAAGTTGCTCAAGAATGGAGGGAGGGGTGGTTTGTTCAGCAAGGTATCCAGGCATCCAGGGCAAAAAATGAAGGAGAATAATGAGTAGGGTTTTATTCCCCCCACCCCCTTTTTTTAAATTTGATTGTGGTTTAGATATGCTTAATCATGGCTGTACCATTTTTAAATCAAAAATATTCTTTAAAAGAAAGACACAGACCTTTGGAGAGATCTTGCAATCCTGTATTGCAGGGATGCTAGCAATCTGCTTCATGTGAATTTAACTTTGATGAAACGAAGGGGAGTTTATGTGAAAGAAACTACTAAGTGCACTCTGTAATGTTTTCACAAGTGTTTTTATCATGGTAACATCTTGTTTACTTTAGTTGCCTGCCTAAAACTACTTGGAACATGTTAAGAAAACATTTCGAGAAAGCTTCTACAAAGAGGCTTTTGTTTAGCAGCAACTGTGAGACTGCTCGGCTCACAAAGGTGTTAACTTTCAACCCCTTAAGCACTTCCACATGAAATTCCAGCAACTATGTTTGTGGTTTTGGAAAAACAAAGTGTATATTAAAGAAACCAGGTATATGCTAATACATGTTGAAGTAGGCCGGAAACCGTAAATTGTTTCAAAGGCATTAATTGCTATCATTTGCATGTCAGAACGTTCTGCAGTGAAATCATCTGCAGTTAGCACAACAGAGACTTTTTAATCGAAATAGGTAGCAAGGGCCGAGAAGAGGCTAGCCGATAGATGGCTTCTTAGGTTTCCGAATGCCCGGCAGGCCCAGTTGCGCTCCCCAGCTACAGGCCGTTGCAGGGGAAGGTGCTGGCGAGGGTGCTGCCGCCCGGCGCGGGGCTGCGCCGGCACCCGGGGCACCCGT